ATAATAATATTCCGTTCGCAATAATAATAAAAAATTATACCGTTTGTGTGAGATATTGTCACCGTAGTATACACATCGATTGAACTAAAAATTTTCATTATTAGTTCGCTTATTTATAATCTTATCTGTGATTATAATTATATTCTTTTACACCTTACTTATTTCTATTGGATATACGTATATCGGTTGATAGCTCGATGTGTTCATAAAACTTGGTCAGACTCTTTTATGCCTCTTAACATCACGATATGCTGCCTAGTATTTGTACGACGTATAATTACCTTGTAATGAAGAATAACTCTGAAATAACTGACATCAACATTTACTCATTCATTAGAACTTTAGATATAATTGTATCGTAACGTGCCCGAAACTGTATTTTCGTATCCATATTTTGTCCAGCTAACGTATCGTTTATTATCGTTATTATGTAACAAGTGTAATTATGTTTACTGTAATGATAATGATTATCCAAGGATTATCGAGATCGCCATCAATCCTCTTATCATTATATCAAATTAATTATAAATTCAATCAGGTCACCTTTCGATAACGTTCTTATATGTTGAAATATGAAGTATATCAGAAGCTCGGGATCTTAGATTTAGCAATATATTCTTGTTGATAATAATCTCTTTAAATCATGTAAGGTACAGTTTCTGATATAGCGAGCCACATTTGAAATATGAAAAATCACACTGATCAACATCTGGCTCCGATAAGCGCGTAGCATGACATTCTTGCGATTTTTTTTTGCCATAAATATATTCACTGAATTATTGTTCGCAACAACGTAACAAAGAATATAAAATATAAAATCAATCTAAAAAAGGGATACATATTTTAGTTTTGAGAATACAACATTGGCACCGTCGTGCACATGGTGGTGTTAATCTTGAACATCAGCTGAAAAAATCTTCAATGTTGCGACAGAAAGCTAAGCTAAGTAAGTCCTATGATTAGTCTTCGAGACTCCCACCGGAACGTCTCCTTTGGTGGAGCACGACGACCATGCCTCTTCAGCCAGACTACCGTATCTCTGCACACCTGGGAAAGGTGGTCCGGAATTCTGCGGTGAATAGTAGCCGCCCTGCAGCTGCTGGTAGTAATTGCCACCGGACTGCTGCTGATACGGCTGGTACTGATCCCCGCCCGCCAGGACGTTGCTGTAGCCCGAGTACGAGCCGTATTGAGACGACGAGTACGAGGAAGAGGAGTAACCGCGTTCGCTCAGACTGCGGTAAGGCCCCGAGTGATGGGGCCTACCCTCCTGTCAGACTGGGGTGCTGACCGCGGCTGAGCTTATGTACTCGATGTCACCGATGCTTTTCACTCGTCGATGCCGCTTGCCGCTGCCAGTTGACATCGGCCGCGGCGGAAGTTGTGGCGGTGGTGGCGAGTTGCTGCGAACGCTGCTACTCATGTACTGGCATTGACTGACGAGGCTCCCGGTGTCTGAAGACGATGATGGTGATGCCTTCTCGCTTCTAGGCCGGAGACCGAATGCTCTGCTCAGGGATCCCTGCGAAAAGATGGGTCTCGATTAGAGGGATTATGATTTGTAAAATGTGATTAAGCGGTGGATCTCGACTTTCCAGAGAAGTCGAAGCTACGAGCAAATGAACGACCGGGAGATGCCCAAGTACTAACAGAATCAGTTTAGATAATATAAAAGAGCGATAAAGTTCTAAAGAAAATTTCTAAAAGACGTCCGAAAAATTGGATCTTTTGTAGATGTTTTTTTACTAGTCACTTAAATTTTTGCGTTGCTGAAGAAGTTACTAAGTTGAATAAAAAGAAATCGCGGAGTACGGAAATTTAGATAGCAGCTTAAGCTGTGAAGAAATTAGTTGGATTTTTTTTTCCATATTCAAAAAAATAATACTAACATTTCGATTTCAATAAACTGATTGTTTAATTGATTTAATGTGACAAAACGTTTTACTATTATGTTTGTAATGTAAAAACTTTTACGCGAAAGCGAAATATCGCTATCTAAATTTCGCTATGACACCCGCTGTATCTTTTAGAGTGAAAGGATAAACGAACATGAGACAAAGATTTAGGAGATTCGCTGGGTAGCAGAGTGATTCTTGCAGAATGATTAAAAGCAGAAGATATAGATAGGAGGAGATGCATGTGCTACGACAAAGAGGAGGGCCCACCGTTTTTGTTTCATCATTTTGGAGCAGATGTGTTGGCGGGCCCATCCTGATCGTCGATCTTAATAATTCAAGTGATACGGTCAGCAGGATTAGTGGGAACATATATGTGAGGGACACTACACGGATATATAATGTACGTACTTGAATGTACATATATTAATGACGCATACCTGTGAGCTCCTCCACGACAACTAGCAAAAGGACGAAATAAGGTCGATTAAGAATCCACACGCTGAATTTTCACATTGATATCGTCAATTTATATTTACACAATTGATTATGACGGGCGGCGACGAATTGCCACGGCGCCCATATGCAGTCATAAATAATGGCCCGCTATAAATACGAACGTTTGCTACGTAATTCGAGCTGCATAATGCATAATTTTAATCGCTACTCGCTATAGAGGTGTACCTGAAGACACGGGACACTCTGCTTACATACATGAGGAGAATACGTGTTCGGCTAACGTATATGCTCGTTATATACAATGTTTACAGTGTGGTATAACGCGTACGTCGGTGAACATTTAGCGCTGAGAACAGGGTATAATCGTAGAATGTACAATTTCAGCGATTGCATTGAGTAATTTAATAACCTCTTGTGAATATTTTATATATCTTCATTTTATTCATTCAATTTATTAGAATATAAGGGTTCGTTCAGACTATCGAGCTGAAACTCGAGCCACGAGCATTTCGGTTAACTTTCATTGTTTTTTGCCGAGCCGCGTAACAAATGTTTCCCGAAATACTCGAGTTTCGGCTTGATAATTTGAACACACCCTAGAAGAAAAAAACAATTGCAACGTAATTCCTGCAATAGCGATAGATAAATCGCGATTTAACTACTAAAATAATTGAAATCATCTACTAAATTTGTCATTAAAAACTTTATAAAAAGGATAAAATATTCTCGCATAAAGAAATAAAATATTTCCGTAACATTTTCCGTTTCTCGATGTATAACAAACTCGGATTTTAAATATTCATTATTTTGTGAATAAAAACGGATAGAACCCGGTTTTTCATTGCGCAAGTATATATCCTTTTCTCAGCGCGGCAGATTGTCTGGCAATCTGATTGGGCTATAAAAGACGGAAACAAGGTGTACAAATAGATGATTAAATATAAGAAAGAGGTATTTCCGCGATCTGTTCCATTTTCTATAATTATAATATAATACGACTGCAAGGCTTAGGCTCGTATTCCATCAGTCTTTTTCTCTTTTACCTTGCAAACGGTTATTTGACGCTGATTCAATGAATCGATATTCGCGCATTCAGGTGTCTCGCGCTCGACAGACCGGACACAACGATAATTACTCAATTATTCCGAAGTCTATTGTACAATCAGCTCTTTTGTTCGATTACTTCTTTGCTCACACTTTCAAGTCAAGTGCGATCAAGGTCGAGATCCAGAGAAATCATATGGATCTCAGCAAAGCGATGCCTCGAACAGAGTTAATCAATTAATCGCGTTAAGCGGAAATTTATTATTTATCTGCCGCTTCGCCAAGATCGAGAATTTTTCCGAGCGAGGAAACGTTTATACGAGAAAAACGCTTCGTCGTTCCACAATGCCGATACATTTGCCGATATATACTGATGGTTTCCTATTTTACTTTCCTAGGAACGTGGACATGAGTTTACAATCGATCGAAACATAACCGGATTGTTGATCGCAATTAGATCAACATATTAGATCAGCACGTACGAAATTAATCCTCAATTGCAGCCACAGATTATTTAGGGACTCGAAACTACGAGATTACAAATTATAGAAAAAAAAAACTCTTTCTTTATTAATCGTCATAAGGCAAAGTTCAATGTTTGCATTCTATACTTCAAACAAAATGCTTTCCCCAACAGCACAAAACTTGCAGCAATATTGCTGCAACGTGTAATATTGCTAGAATATTGCACCAGTATTGCTGTAACTTTTGTGCTGTTAGGGTTGTAACTTAAGTGTACCTTTCATAGTTGAGGGTTAATAATAAATCATTTAAGACGCGGTTTTATCAACGTTACTTTGACTCTAAGCAAGACTTAAAACTCTCTCTCTATCTCTCTCTATCTCGTTTTAAAGCAAAAGAGAGACAGAGACGGAGAGAGCTTTTCTTAAAGTCAAAGTAACGTTGGTGCAACCAGGCCTAAGAGTTTGAGATTATAATGCATCATACTCCATTTTTCTTTGAGAAATTATCTAAATTTATTGGAACAGTACTAAAAATTAGTCTCAATCAATTGCTTACTCATGTGCACTTGCGTAAAAACGATTTTACAAAATCTCCTGGAATTCGAGGAAAAAATTAATTAAATTAATTAAAAGATTATCTAGGCGTTGATGATTCTATTGTAATTAATCTTCATAGATTGCCGATTATTGGAGACTTTGCAAAAACATACTGCAATTAATCGATTCGCAACGAGGACGTAGCGAATCGATAGGCTTTGTAATAAATATATGTTCTATGATATAGAACAGTATACAAAAAACTTTAAATAAAGAAACAATGGATATATATGTAATAAATACCGAACCTTTTTCAAGTAAAGAAGACTGCAGGTCTGCGACGATCCACAGGATGCAGGGACAATGATTAACATTAGGTTGAGCTCATAGCTCACAGCGTAAAAATTCAGTTATTGATTCTCGTCGCGTGAAACTTCAAGCGGACTATGAAATTTTTTTAGTAAGTAGCCGACTAAAATTTATTTTCATTTAGCAAACTGTATAATTACAAACTCTTTTCATGTAACAAACTTATATTACTAACTTTAATAAATAGTACATATTGTAGCATTCTATTTCGTTGTTCGTATTGTTTTATAAAATGAATAAAAAAATATAATATTGAAATTCTATATAATTGGTAAAAAAATATATTTTTCATTTGACACGTTAAAAAATAACCTGTTGTACGTTAATTTTGGTTACTATGTGTGAATTTTCAAGAAACATATATATTATTATGTTTATTTTTAAAAAGTAAAGAGTTGAGAAATTCTAAAGCAATTTTA